TATTTTTTTAACCTTTTCCAAAGTTTGGCTTAAGAAAAACTTGAAATACTGGACCAAAGCTATTCCGATTTAGACTTGTGAGTTATTAGTGGAAAGGAGTTTTCTCATCCTTTTTATTTCTTTGCAAAAAAAAACTCATTCACGTCCAAATTTTAAGTTTCATACATCAACACATCTTAATTCAACTTGGAGAGACGCTTATTTATCCAGTTGTCCGAGTTTTTCTTAAACCAATCTTCGAAAGAAAAGCTTAAACTGCTTTGTCATATAAGGAGATTTTTTTTTAATTCTTTACGAAACTATTTGTATTCATAAAGAACCCCATTTTTTAATGTTTTGACGTAAAATACGTCTTACGTTTCGATATGGAGGCTATGCTTAAATGTTGTAGTTGTAATTTTTAGAGCTTCACGAAAACGCTTATTGCACGAGAACTAAAAAAGCGATTTCAAAGCAAAGTGTGGCGCTTCAAAGACAAAATTTTTGTAAGTAACCAATTCGGTTACGAAAAACGTTGTAGTTTGAAAATATTTTGCAGAGGGTAGCCATCCTGTTACAAAGTTAGACTCAATATAAACAATAGGTTAAATAAATTTCTTCAATATGAGTATAAATCAAAATTGCTTTGAAGAAACTTTATTTCCAAACAGCATGTAGGAGGGTTGCCACCTGATTTTATAATTTAATTCAATTCGAATTAAGAGTATATATGCATCACAATCCAAAAGCCAGACGGAAAAGGTTTAACGAGGTTTTGGTTTGAAAAAAATTTGAGCAGGATTGCCATCTGTTTAAAATATTGCCGTCAAACAAAGGAGTATTACGAAATGTTTAGTTTGAGCATTTATAACATTGAAGATGTTTTCCACCTGTGTAAAAGTTAAACTCAAATTATTTAATAAGTCAAATGAAGTTTAAATTGGCATGGTTTAAAAATGTTGTTTTTTGAACTTTATTTAAGAGGGTTGCCATATGTTTTAGAAATTAATTTCAACTTCATATAACACTTTAAATATGTATCGCAATATGTGTGGCAGTCGTAAAGCTTTAACAAGGTTTCGGTTTAAAATATTTTGAATAGGGTTGCCACCTGTTTTCAAATTATAATTTAATTAAAGTATGCATAAGTTAAATGAAATATTGAAATATGACGTAAAAAGAACGTAGGTGGAGGGTTGCCACCTGTTTAAAAAGGTAAACTCAAATAATTTAATAATTTGAATCGATTATTAAAAATATGGGTATAAAATAAAAGGTGTTATTTCTGCACTGTATTTAGGAGCGCTGCAACGTATTAACACAAACAAAACAAAATTGATTTGTGATATTTCATGTACCGTTTTTAACTTGAATGTGATCTTAATAATATCACGTATTCTACGTTTAAGTTTAGCGGCTGAGGCTCCGACACTGCCCGAATGTCAAAACAAAGGCGCTGGACTGACTTCTTTTTTTTTAAATGCAGAGATGCATCAAGATGCTTGGAAAAAATGTCGCTTAAGTTATTTTGGTAGTTAAGGCTCGATATGTTCTGGCTTTTGCTACAGGGAGGCCCTGTTAATTTAGATTCACGCTAATTATATCTTTTAATATATCATATACACCAATCTTGCCCAACGATCTGACGTTTTCCCCCAAAAGAATATCATTGAAGGCCACCTCTATGTCGAGAAGTACACCCACAGAGAATTCTTAATGTATGTCCTTTTTCGATCGACATCACGTTCATGTGCTGGGCAGACCTTACCCTCTTGGGCGCTGTGTTAGGCGATCGTGAAGAATCCTGGTACTAAAATGCTGATCAATCAAACAAATCCTTGAAATCCTAAAGCGTGAGGTGAGAGCTTTTGCTAGCCCTGCGTAGAAAACCAACCCTGAACACCCATTAAAGCGTAGGGATTTACCCGCTTAGATTAAGAGCTTGAAGTAGTTTAGCGCCCAAACAAGGCGTTGCCTAACCCAACAGTTCACTTAAGGTGCGCTCCATTAAAGAGGGCTCTATTAAAATTTCATCTGAGCAGCATCTGCTCTGTCCTTAAAAAATCTTAAAAGATTAAAATCATATTAATGATTAAAAAAATTTTAGTTCTCTACCCTCTAAAATTGCTTCAATTGCAGTTAAGCCATTCCTGTTAATATTATTCATCGGACAATTTTCACAAATGTGGCTATTGAGGCATATTTCTTCTTTTTTTTTGTACTTTACCTGGCAAAGGCGCCGCAGAGCATGCCACTTTATTTATTTAATTAAAATAAATAAGTAAAACCATAGACAATGGATGGGATCAAAAAATTCGCTTATATTTGTTGACTAAGTAGAGCAATAAAACCGTTTTGATATTAAATATTTAATGTACCTTAGGCTGCGAAATGTTGACGCGATTATATGCTTCACCTGTGTAATCATTCACAATTTGATGTTAAACATAAACTAACTGATACTAGTTTAAATAGATATGTATGCACATGTGCAAATACATACATATCTACGTTGGGATAACAAAGGTTACGTGATCTGTATTAGGAGATAAAGTACAAAAACTAATTAAGTATAACTTTCTAAGTATTATCTAAGATGGAAAATTTTTGAATAAAAGGCCTTCCGAGTATTGCAACTTTCGTCAGTCTATTTCCAAGTTCCTGAAGTGACATTGGTTATTGCTCTGAAATCGGCCCTTTTCTGTGAAAAAACTAAATTCTGGTAAGCTTTGCAGCATTTTATCATAGATTTTTTATTTAAGTATATACATATAAATTTTTTTTGGAAATTACAAATTTGTTTTACCACAAACTGCTTGGAAATTCTCGGCAGTGCACTGTGGCCAAAAAGGCCTGTTTTTCTGGTTAAAATCAGTTACGGCTAAAACAAGTCACTTTTAAGCAAAAAACAAAACCGACTTTAATTGTCATACTATATAAAATTTAAGAGTACCTTTAATTTCTCGTATCTAAAACATATTAGTATGGGACCACCTCTGAGGTACCATCTTTCCTTAAAAAAAAAAGAATTATAGAAATCGGTCCAATGTTGTGTGGTAACGTACTTACATAAAAACAAATATGCCGACGAATTGATAACTCTCTCATTTTTTTGAAGTCGATTAATAAGTACTGTATGATTTAAAAAAAAACATGAGTTTTCTATTGATAAGCATATTTTTTCCGACACTTTTGTAAAAAAAAAAAATTAATCCTTGACAACTGAGCGGTCTAAAAGGGTCACTTTTTAGCCATTTTTGTGGTCGCAATTTTTGAAAAATGTTGCCAGATTACACTAATGTCAATTTAAACTTGCAAATTTTGACATTCTTGATTTGCGTACTGAAAAGTAGAAAGGAGCAACATTTGCAGCAAGCAATCAGAGAGTGCAATCAAAACTTAAAGAGAAATCCTTACGCAAAATATTAAATAAATTAAGTCCAAACTCAAAATTTGACTTTTTACTACCTATAAAGTATCCTATCACAAAAGCCTGTAGGCCACGAACTTGCTGTCCTTTCGCATTGCCCACAGTGGTCCTTAATTTTTCAGGTACGAAATTATCTATATTTCTACAACAGTTGTTGATAAAATTTTGCGAAAACTTAAAGAAAATATGAAAATTTACATGAAACCATACAAACACTCAACCTCCCAGAAAAAGAGTCGTACATACATATGTAACACACTAGTAAGGGGTAAAAGACCTATTTTTTATTTACAAAAAGTGAACTTGGCGCAAACAATTTAAGCTAATGTTTACATAAATACTCATTTACAATCAAATATTACGCAAGCAGCCACAGTGAACAATGAAATAAAAATAAAACTCCTCGTTGCCTTTGCGGTTAACGAAAGTCACAGCGCCAACAAATACATATATACGTTCATTCATAATACCCGCCTATATATGTTGTTGTCACAAGTGGCTTGCAAAGCGACTACTACTACTATATTTATTGCACTATGATGTAGCAATGAATGGTGGTTGAAAATAGGAAACAGCTGCCACGCCAGCGCTGGCGTTTTAAGGCAACAGCTGCGCCATATTTTTTCAGATTTTTTTTTGAAAAAGTACTATAAAAATATCTTAGAAAATGTTTGCAACCCTGACCATTATCCATTTTCTTTTTTCTTTACAGCAGCAAAATGTCTTACCTCTACAGCCATTGTGGTTGTCCGGTGACTTCACCACTCACGCCTACATTGGCCACCACCTGTGGCGGCAGCGCATACGTGCTGTTCATGGGTCTGCTCGAGATATTCCTGCGCTCGCAATGCGATATCGAGGATCCGTGTGGTCGGGCCACACCCAGAGTAAGTCGGTAGCAAAACAAATAAATACACAACTTTAATACAAATTAAATGTTATTAGAGAAACAAATTTAATAGGTTTGCATGTTTTTTAGTTCAGAATGTTCGAATAATAGGTTTGTTCGTCGAGCAAAAAATTTGTACGAATTATCACGATTTTTGCCCAAATCGCGTTCGTGCAGACCAAAAAATTATCCAACACTCAAAAATTGTGAGAGCAAAGTGACAGTTCTCTTGGAGAGAAGTTGCAAATTCTTGCTGGAAAAAATTTTGCCAGCAAGAATTTGCAAACACGAAAAACATGTGGTTGTGGCGCATGGTTGCATTTTTGTCTACAATAATTTGAATAAATTAGTTCGTTAAATTTAAAAATTTATAAACACGAGCGATTTTTTTTATGAAAAAAGGAAGTAAATAATTGTTGATATAATTAATTTAGTTAATTTCAATGATTTGAACTTAATTCGGCTGAAAAAAATGGTATTCGCAATCGGAATGCAATTGCAACCAGAGACGCCAGCTGGCAGCGAAACTTGCAAATTCCTGCAAATTTGCAGTCGTGCAGAAATTTGCAAGTTTCTCAACATGAGAGAGAATTTGAGAGAATTTTTTCTTACTCTCTGATATTTTGAGTGTTGGATAATTCTTGCTGGATTTTCGACGAACAAACCTAATAGCTCGTTCATTTACTTTTTTCTCTCTCTCTCTCTCTCTCATACATATGTCAGTTCCGTTCCGAGCCCGATAGTGAGTATGATTTTGTTGTGATTGGTGGCGGTACTGCTGGTTCGGCTGCTGCTGCGCGTCTCTCCGAAGTAGCGCATTGGAAAGTTTTGCTCGTCGAAGCGGGTAAGTTTTTGCTAAAGTATGGCACAAGTCTCAATTCCTTTTTTTGTCCGAATAAGTGCGTTTTTCAAGAACATAATCTGCGGTTTGAAAATGAACTATTCCTTTCAAAAATACTTTTACAAAAGTACTTTTTCACAACACTTTGCCCTCAAGTTGCTAAAACCAGCATTTACATATGTATATGCAGCCGATAAATACTTTTCGTTACTTTTTAGCAATTACTTTTATAAATAAAAACTTGCCAATGCAAACATCAATTTTATAAAATTTTTCTCGCGTTTGTGATATTAAAAAGATTTGATTACACTTGCAATTACTTTTCGAAATCTTTGCAATTGAAAGACTTTTCGAATTAGGTTTGATTGTCACGTCTGACGACACCTTTTCTCTATATCTATGAGCTACCTGCACACGTAGTTTTCGGTCTGGGCCGAGACCACAAAGCTTATATGTATGATCTTGGCTATAAACAGGCCGGAGGTCAGTATTTGCAGATTAAAAAAAACGTAAGTTCCCAGGAAAAAAACTGTATTTTCAAAAAAAAAACTAACCTTAAAAACCGAAGAGACTTTTTTGGAAAATTGGGGTCTTTAACGGTATTATTTAAATAAAACTGACTAAATTTCTCTCAAACGAAAGAACTCCGCATCTCCGTATTTTATCTTAAAACTTTACTACAAAAAAAAAAAAGAAGTAAAAAAATCAAAAAAAGATCAATTTTTTAAATGAAAACACATAGCAAAATTTTTAATAAGTAGGTATGATATGAAAAAAGGGTTATTTTTATGAGATATACTTCACTAATATACAAATTCCTATTCAAAGTTATATTAATCCCTTTCGTTATTTGCTTCCATTACAGGTGATGATGAACCAGTTGGCTCACAAGTACCAGCAATTTCGTTAAATTACCTTGGCAGTGACATCGACTACCACTATAAAACTCAACCGGAGAAATCAGCGTGCCTGGGAAATGCCAATCAGGCTTGCTCTTGGCCGCGTGGCAAAGTATTGGGTGGCACATCGGTGGTGAATGGTATGATGTACAATCGCGGCAATCGTGAGGACTATGACTATTGGGCATCCTTGGGTAATACCGGTTGGTCGTACGACGAAATATTGCCATACTATAAGAAATCCGAAAATAATTTGCAAATTACTGAGGTTGATAGCGATTTGCATGCC